TGCTGAGAAAATATATAGTTATGCTTCCTTCATTTTAACTGCTCATTATATGATCATACCACAATTTATTAATGTATTTTCCTATAGATATACATTTACTTTCTTGTACAATTATTAATCATAAGCCAGATTGCAGTTAAAACTCTTCTGGATGGAGGTATGTGACCTTTGTTTTTTATTTTATTTTGTTTTAACATAATTGAATAATAGGACCAATGAAGTTGCCCTTTTTTAAATGTATAGTTCTGTTAGTTTTAACACATAGAGGTATTCACATGACCACCATCACGATAAGGATACAGAGCAGTTCCATCACCCAAAATAACTTCCTAATGCTATACCTTTGTAGTCATACCTTCATCATGGTCCCTAATGCCTGGCAGCCAATGATCTATTCTCTGTCACCATAGCTTTTCCATTTCTAGACTAACATATAAATGTAATCATACAATATATAACCTTTTGAGACTGGATTCTATCACTCAGAATAAGGCCTTTGAGATGCATCAATGCTGTCATGTATACCCATATTTTGTTCTTTGTTGTTTCTAAGTAGTATTCTATTGTATGATCTACAACAGTTTATCTATTTGCCCATTGAGAGACATATGTATTATTTAATGTTGGCAATTATTAATAAAACTGCTATAAAACTTTCATAAATAGGTTTTTATGCACACATAAGTTTTCAATTCATTTGGAGAAATACCTAGCAATGGATTACTGGGTCATATGGTAAGTACATGTTTATGTTTTCAGATGTTTGGAGATTTACCACATATCTCTGTCATTTATTTCTAGTCTATTTCTATTATAAGCAGAGAGCATAGTTTGTATGATTTGATTCTTTTAAATTTAAATGCTTGTTTTATAACGCAGGATATAGTCCATCTTGGTAAATGTCATGTACACTCAAAAATAATGTGTATTAGGCTGCTTTTGAGTGAAGCGTCCTATGAATGTTAAATTAGATTTAGTTGGCCAATAGTATTTTTCAGTTCTTCTATATCCTTGCTGATATTCTGTCTACTTGCTCTATAAGTGGCAGAAAAAGAAACACTAAAGTCTCTAGCTATAATCGTTGAATTGTCCCATTTATCCTTTCAGTTTTATAGTTTTACTTATGTACTTTGAAGCTCTATTGTTAGAGGCATACACATTTAAGATTATTATGACTTCTTGGTGAATTGTCTTTTTGATTGCTACTTTGAGTAATACGAATATAATTATGCCAGATTCCTTTTAATTAGTGTTTGTCTGGTATGTCATTTTCTTTTTTTTGTTGTTGTTTTTTTTTTTTTTTTTGAGACAGACTTGCTCTTTCACCTAGGCTGGGGTGCAGTGGCACGATCCCTGCTCACTGCAAGCTCCACCTCCCAGGCTCATGCCATTCTCCTGCCTCAGTATTCTGAGTAGCTGGAATTACAGGTGCCCACCACCACACCCAGCTAATTTTTTTGTATTTTTAGTAGAGATGGGGGTTCCACATGTTAGCCAGGATGGTCTCGATCTCCTGACCTTGTAATCTGCCCACCTCAGCCTCCCAAAGTGCTGGGATTACAGGCATGAGCCACCACGCCCAGTTGTCTGGTATGTCATTTTTTATCCCTTTACTTTTAAGTTACCAGTGGTCATATATACACCTGGTTTCTTGTAGGCAGCATAACACTGAGTTGTTTTTAATTCATTCTGAAAATTTCTGTCTTTTAATTGGTGTGTCTAGGCCATTTTATATTATATAATTATAAATTTATATTATATAATTATATTAAATACCATATATTTATATATTATAAAACCCTATATATTAAATATATATTACCATATATATTTAAATATATGGTATTTAATATAATATATATTTAATAAATATATATAAAATATATATTACCATATATATTTAAATATATAGCATTTAATATAATTATCGGTATGTTTGCATTTAGGGCTACCATTTTATAATTTTGTTTTCTGTTTATTTCCTATATTTTTGTTCTTCTTTCCCCTTTTTCTGCTTTCTTTTTATGATTTGGGTATTTTTAGTGTTTCATTTTAATATATTTATTATTTTTATTATGTCTCTCAGTATAGTTTTTAGTTTTATTATATCTCTTAGTACAGCATAGTATTATAATCTAGGAATTATATACATTTAATGTTTCTCAGCTATTTGGAATTAATATTTTACCACATCAAGTGGAATGCAGAATTCTTACCAACATATAAGTCCTTTTACCCTCTTCCCTTCATGTTGTAGTGGTCATAGGTAGTATGTCTCTGTGTGCTGAATCTCTATCAGACAATGCTATAATTTTTGTCTTCAATTATTATGTGTATTTTGTAAACTTAAGATGAGAAAAAATGATCTGTTATATCTACCTGTATGTTCACCATTTCTGTTGCCCTTCCTTCATTCCTGATGTTCCAGGTTTCCCTCTGGTGACATTTGCCTTCCATCTGAAAACTTTCTTTAGCATTTTTCTTAGAGCAGGTCTGCTGGTGATTATTTCTTTTAGTTTTCTTTCATCTAATAATGTCTTTACCTCATCTTCACTCCTGAAGGAACTAAATGCTGGAAGGGAACTTTGAAATTGTGTACCACAAAATTCTTGTTTACATGTGAGGCAAAGGAAGCCCAGAGACATTAAATAATTTGTCCCCTGCCACCAAGCTAGTTAATGATTGAGCCAAGATTACAGTGTAAGCTCCCTAACTCCCAATCCACTGCTCTTACTCTTCCTTCCAAAATGCCTTGGTTTGCTTTCTCAATTATTTGGTTTATACTGGAAATAAAGTTGTGTGAAAAGATCTAGATTAGTATATGCTTAGTAGAAGAAAAATGTAAAATTCTCATTTTTTAGAGCTGAAAAAGTCATTAAAGATCATTCACTTCAGTGTTTCATGTTTCAGATGAGGCAACTGAGACCAAGAGAAGGTAGTTCAGTTTTCCAGGGGAAATTTACTAACAAGTAGGGCCATGACTTTTTATAGCAAGATCACACTACATACCCATCATTTGTAAAGAACAGGCACTTATTTGTTTATTTGTGCCCCCCAGTAGCAATGATGGGGAAACACGTACTGTGTCTCTCTCTCTCTTGAGCCCCTTAGAACCTTATGACACAAGTTGGATGACCAGTGTTAGACAATGGATCCTACCTAGCCTATTTGGAATCAAATCTGTGACTTTGTTCTCATTAGCACTGTCCTTTCAACCAGTGATCTCCAAACTTCAATGTGTGTCAGAATCTTATAAGCTGAGAAGAATCAGTTTATTGAAAATGTACATTCCTGGCCCCACATCCAAAAATATACTAGATCTATGATGTGGCCCTGGAATTTGCATTTTTATAAGCACACCAGGCAATTCTGATCCACAGGCTGCACTTTGAGAAATCTCTGGCTTATGTTGAGGCACTGTGTGTTGGTCATGAATAGAAAATTTTGGACTTTCTACCTCAAAATAAGGTGTTGAGTGCAATACTAAATCAGTATCAGTTTCTTAAGTTCACTCCATTCCAGGTCTTCCATTTATAGTAATTTCAATTGCATCTCTTGCTGATTACTGAGACAGCTAGCAGGTAAAAGTAACATTCCTCACATGCATCTATACTGTAATAAAAACTGTGAGAGACATAGATGTCTACATTTAATTATTTCTTTATGTGTCTCTTACCTATTGGTTTTTCAATAGGACCACTGAAATTTCCATTAATGTTCTAAGTGAATGTCTACTGGAGCTGGGCACAGTGGCTCATGCCTGTAATCCCAACACTTTGGAAGGCTGAAACAGGCAGATACCTTGAGCTCAGGAGTTGGAAACCAGCCTGAGCAACATGGTGAAATCCCATCGCTACAAAAAAAAAAAAAAAAAAAAATTAGCCAGGCCTGGTGGCAGGAGCCTGTAGTCCCAGCTTCTTAGGAGGCTGAGAGGTGGGAGGATCACTTGAGGCCAGGAGTTCAAGGCTGCCATGAGCCAGATCGCACTCTGCCACCTGCACACCAGCCTGGGTGACAGAGAAAGACACTGTATATTAAAAAAACAAAAACAAAAACAAAAACAAAAAACACATAATGGATGTTTAACTTAACACTACGTAGATGTTCTAACTTAACACTTATCTTCAGCTAGATTCTACACATTTATGTTTTTATTTTATTTTCCAAACCACTTCCCACCTCCATATATGAACACACATAAACCCATAAACACCATTTATTCTACAGGAATTCATTAATTCTCATTTGTATGCCTTGCTGTGTCTAAGATCCTATGAAGGCAAGAAATTAAAAAAGAAAATGTGTTACCCTTGAACTCATGGAGTTATAGTCTAGTATAGAAAACCAACCACACAAACAAAAAACAACTAGTCATGTTCTGAGAAACACGGGAATGTGGGCAAGACAAAAATAGAGTCTAACCTTCGCAGATTGAGGAACTCGGTGTTTAAATGTTGACTCTATTGTTTTCATGATTTAACTCCTGCAAGTAGAGAGTCTGATATTTAGCCAGACTGAAAGGAAACACAGCTGCCCTTTGCATTTGCTCCTTAATGCACGCAATGGCACAGATTGCTCATCTACTCTGTGTACCGCCTCATACTTTTTTCCCATTGGCTTGTGAGCACAGATATAGCTTGACTCTTTGATGATCACAAAAGACTCTTGAAGGCAGGAAGGAACTGTGTCATATATTTCTTTGTGTCTCCTACAGGGTCCAAAGCTATGTCATCTTATTGTAAAAAATAATTTAGCCCCTACTGTATAGTAGGCCCTACGTGAGATTCTACAGTTGTAGAGATGGCCGATATCTCTGACTTGACTCAGAAAACATTTCTTGAGCATTTCCCAAATGATAGGCCCCATCCTTAGAGTTCTGTGTACATATATAGGTAGCATTCTCCCTCTACACTCAGGCGTAGTGCTCCAGTGAAGAGGGCAGATATGTGTACTGTGTAAACTTGCAATGGCTGCTGTAACAAAGTACCACAAACTTGGTGGCTTAAACAACAGAAATGTATTTATTGTCTCACAGTTCTAGAATTATAAATCCACGTTCAAGGTGTCAGTAGAGTTGGTCTCTTCTGAGGGCTGTGAGGGACAAATTTGTTCCATGCCTCTTACCTAGCTTCTTGTGTTTGCTGGCAGTCTTTGGTGTTCCTTGGCTCATAGAAGAATTGCCCAATCTGTCATTATCTTCACATGGCATTCTCCCTGTATGCATGTCTTTGTGACCCGATTTCTCCTTTCTATAAGGACACCAGTCATATTGCATTAACGGTCCACTCTACGCTAGTATGATATCATCTTAACTAACTTAACTACAACAACCCTATTTCCAAATAAGGCAACACTCTGAAGTACTGGAGGTTAGGATTTCAACATGTGAATGTGAGAGGGGGATATAGTCAACCCATAACACATACTAAAAAGGAAACCCAACATGGCCAATGCTGTAATATGGGAATATATGAGGAGCTATAGGGACACATGAGAGCACATGGCGCTGAGTTTAGTGGGTATGAGGACAAGCATCAGAGAAAAATTGGATAAATGGCCAAAGTTTGGGTGGATCAGTGGGTGTTTTCAGGAGAAAGAGCTTTTGATGAAAGACACATCTGTGAGAGGTTGGAGCACTTGGGAATTGCAGAAAGTCTTATGGGGTGAAGAGACCAAAGAGGGGGCATATAAAGAAGAAGAGAGGTAGAAGCCAGACCACCAGGAGCTATGTCACAATGAGTGACCTAATCTGGAAACAAGGAGCAGCTCAGGGGGTTTTCAGGAGGAGAACATCCTGGTTGCATCAGGATACCAGAAGTCTCACTCTGGCAAGAGTGCAGGTGGGCACTGAAATAGGGTACCATGGAAGCAGAGAGACCGTTAGAAGCCTATTTGCAAGTCTGAGCAAGAGATTATGAGGTTCTAGATACGTCAAGATCAGTAGACATGGAAAAGGAGGGAGGGGCTTCCAACGAAAGATATTAAACAGAACGATGGGGCCCAGCACACAGAAATTTAGGATAACTTCAGCGTGAATAGAGAGGATGTATGTGAGGCTGACGAGCGCGCCAGGGACCAAGACATGGAAGATCAGAGGAGCAGGAGAAGGCTCATTTCTAGGAGGGGGAAAGACAGATTGGAGGCAAACCTGAGGATGCCAACATACTATTGGCCAATCCTACTGGTACGATTTCCACTCTCCTATCCCAGCTTCATTCACACTTAATATCTAAGTCCCGCACGCAGTTGTGCACTTGCCCTTGACCTTCAAAGGGCATGGAAAATATGTTTACATAATTTCCAAGCGAGTAACACTGTTGTTCCCTAAATTGGGGCCAGAAAAAAAAAGAGTCTACTGAGGGAGTATGACCCCATGGGTTGAGGAGAATTGAAGTCACAAGACCTGCAGTGTCATCACATCCACGTCCTTTGCCAGCCCAGAAAAATGCTCACCAGTTTGCCATACAGTTATTGCAGATACAGCACCACCGTTCAGCTCCTGACTTCTTCATTCGCTGGCCATGACATCTAATTAAACACATTAGAAGTTGCAACGTCTCTCAGAAATTGGAAACTGGTTAAAATTTAATTCCGGATTAAAAAGGAGGAGGTTCTAGAACCTCTCAAAATGCCCACCATCATACCCAGAGGAGTGGAGTAGCTGGCAATAGTATCATCTTGGGCTTTTTCACTTGGACTGGGCACTCAGGTCACAATGTTGTGCCCCTGAAAGTAGGTTCCTTCCTGCTATCTTCCTTTTCCATCCTTTTCTATTTTTGTCCTAGCAATGAGCAGTCTCTAACCTAGCCTAGTATACTACAGAAACTAGTAAGTAATCATAATGATAGCAAACACATATTTCACATTTATTTAGAATGAGTTAGCGGCTCTTCTAAGCAATGTATACATAGTCAAGTGCCACATAACATTTTAGTCAATGCAACGATGGTCCCATAAGATTACAATACTGTATTTTTACTGTATGTTTCCTATGTTTAGATACACAAGTACTCACCACTGTGCTCCAACTCCCTACAGCATTCAGTAGTCATATGCTGTACAGGTTTGTACCTAGGATCAATAGGCTATGCCATATAGCCTCCACGTGTAGTAGGCTGAACCAACTAGGTTTGTGTAACTACACCCTGATGTTCACGCGCACAGGAAAATTGCCTAAGGATGCATTTCTCAGACGTGACACATAATTGTACTTCAATTCATTTAAGTCTCATAACAACTTCAGGAGGTAGGTTTCATCATTATCTTCATTTACAGATGAGGAGACTGCAAAGTCCCGAAGAAACCTTCCACTGAACCACGGAGAAAAGAACTCTGGTCTGAACCCACAAAATCAAACTATGTCTGAAGGTTCTTAATTCCAGCAAGGGAAGGGAGGGGGTTAAAGAGTAGAATTAACTTACATGGGAAGATCTGCTGCCTGGGCAAGCAGCTTCTGGTGGATTTCCTGAACATTCAGCAGGGTGGGGCCGCCTCTCTAATCAGACTTACACTTTACTATACTATAGGATCATTAAATAGAGGAGCCAGGAGTTCAGGACTCCCTCCCTCTTCCTCAAAAGGAAAAATGGGTGTGGGGAGGGTACATTACCTCACAGGATATCGGAGAAAGCCTAAATGTGTCCTCCAATGATTCATTTGGGTGGACTACTTTCACACCAAGCTAAACTCAAAAGTTCGGAGTGGGGTCATCAGGGCCCCTCCCTCCCTGAGTGCAACAAACATTTCCTCTTTTTAAAGTACAGGCAGAGTTGGAATCAAACTCCTTCCAAACAGGAAATCAGCAAGATTCTAGGTAAAACTGATGCCTTACTTTTAAAGGCCAAGCTCTTTCCTTCACCAAGAGGTGTTTCCTGAGCACCTACTACGTGCCAGGCATGTGGTATATAGTTGCAATGAATCTTGATGTGTTCTGTGCCCTGCAGGGGAGCGGAGATGGAAGGGAACACAAAGAAAGAACAGATACCAACACAGCCACCCCCGCCTCCCCCAACCCCCCACACATACCCATTTGGCAAAGCTTACAGAGGAAAACATGGTTTTAGGGGGCTTGTGGTGTTTTTTTCTTAAAAAAAAAAAAAAAAAACCAGAAATGGTAAAAAGAGGCTTCGGACCCCTCGCGTCCCTTAAAGTGACTGGACGGAGACCTGGGCAGGGAAAGTGGGAGGCCCGAGCGAGGGGGAGGGCGCAGGCAGTGGGTGGGTGACAAGGTGCAAGGGCAGCGCCCCGGCCTCGGGAGTTGGCCGTCAGCTGCGCCAGAGGCAGGTGCCAGCGGAGAGTGGGCGGGGGTGCCGGCGCCAGGCCAGGCTCAGGGAGGCCCCACGCTACCTCTGCCTCTAGGAGTCCAGGCGCGCAGACAAGCTCCCGGAGCCGCTCCTGCTTCGCCAACTCCCCACTTGCGCCACCCGTGCCAGCCAGGGGCACTGGCGTCTCCGCCGCCAGCAGAAGGAGTCGCGGGAGCACTAGCAGCCGCCGCCGAGCGACGGCATCCTCAGGAGAGACGCCCCGGCTCTGCAGCCAGCTGCCTCCGCCCGCCCTCCGCGCTGCTCTTCGTGGTCGCTCCCCCCGCCCCGCCCCTGCTCCGTCGCCCGTCCGCCCGCGGCGGTAGCCGGCGCCCGCGCCCAGGGGCCCTTCACCTGCTGCGGGCGCCCGGGCGGGCGGGCGCAGGGGAGAAAAGGCGCAAGAAGTGGGCACCCCAGGAACCCCATTCCCTCGGCTCACTCGGCGCGGAGAAGCAACGCCCGCTGATACCGAGAGCCCCGGTGCTCCGTGCACCTGGTCCCCTAGTTCAGGAGCGACACCCCTCCACTGGGAACTAGCCCGCACAGGGATCATTCCAGCCCCATTGACCCCGGCCCGCCTGCGGGACTCCAGGCGCCTCTTCTGCCCGCACGCCGCGAGCCCTCCCGGGACCCCGGAGACAGCTTGCCTGCCCCCGGCGTCCCCCTCAGCCGGCACGCCCCGCCGCTCCGCGCCCCGGCTGGGCCATGCCCGGGCTGCGCCGGGACCGCCTGCTGACTCTGCTGCTGCTGGGCGCGCTGCTCTCCGCCGACCTCTACTTTCACCTCTGGCCCCAAGTGCAGCGCCAGCTGCGGCCCCGGGAGCGCCCGCGGGGGTGCCGGTGCACCGGCCGCGCCGCAGCCTCCTCGGACCCCGGCACTATTGTGCACAACTTTTCCCGAGCCGAGCCCGGGACTGAACCAGCCGGCGGCAGCCGCAGCGGCTTGAGCTCCAAGCTGCAGGCCCTCTTCGCCCACCCGCTGTACAACGTCCCGGAGGAGCCGCCTCTCGTGGGAGCCGAGGACTCGCTCCTGGCCAGCCAGGAGGCGCTGCGGTATTACCGGAGGAAGGTGGCCCGCTGGAACAGGTGAGGACCCCGCCCGGGACGCGGGAGAGCGGGCGCTCTGAACAGGGCCTCCCCGCGCCCCCGTCTCCAGTCCCCTGCAGCCCCCGGCCCAGGGCTGCAGCGGCTCCACCCACGGCTCCCGCCTTGGCGCTGGGCTTTGGGTGTGTTCCCCACCCGAACCCCACCAGCTGTTCCAGACCTCACAGTGCAGTCTTGGAGTCAGATAGTGCGAGGAAAAGTTTCTATGCAGCCGCGCGGCGAAGAAACGCTCTCAGTCCCTCCCCTTGAGCGCCTGGGTCGTCGTTGAGCCCCACTCCTGCTCCCTGGTCCATTCCCAATCCCCTCTGTCTGTCCTGATGTGGAGGACAGCCGCCGCTGGACTTTAGGTTTCCAGAATGAGGCCCCAAACAGGGCGTCTCCAGAGCTACTTGGAATTCAGCACTTAACTGTGCTCTTTGGGTAAACCTGGGCGCCTTCCAGAAAGCGTGCTTCTCCCCCAAACCCAGTTATTGCCCTTTCCTTATTCCCCTGCCCAGTTTCAGAGATCACAAAAGGGTCACCTGGGGCAGGAAGTAAATGGTCAGTTCTCTGCCGCAGCCACCCCATTGTTCACATTTAAAACGCGGCTTTGGTCCCTCCAGCAAGTGTTACAACTTGAAGGCAGTTTTATCTTGTATGATCCGGGTGATTTGGCCTGACTTGGATCTGCGGCTTGATGCTTCCACAGAGGAGATAAAAATCTTCCAGGGAATTTTTAAAACCCAAAGCAAAATACAAAGGAAAAAAAAATCAAATATATTTAGGATAAAATTAAGAAGAATCTTTTTGGAAAAGGATGGGGGTGTTGGGGAAGGCAGCATGCTCATTACTGACATCCCTTGCTAATGGCAGGAAGCCTTCGTATGAGTTAAGGACTCTATTTTGAAGTACAGAACTTGTCTAAATACCACTCACATTCAGAGTTCACTATCGCACCACACCCATCTCTTTACTTGATACAAGAGATTTCAAAGTAAGATGTCATGGGTGGTTTTATAGTCCTTCCAGAGGATGAGCAGACCATAAATCTCTCTTGAAACTCAGAGCTGGGCCGATTTAACTGTTTGCTCATTATTCTGTAATGCTGCGATTGGAGGGAGAAAAAAAAAAACCTTCAGGAAAATTTTGCAAAGGAAGAAGTTGAGTTATTGGCTGAATCACTGTGGTGAATTTCAGTAGTAAGTCTATGGCTCATGATTTTATGTTAGAAAGAAAGTGATTCTCAATTCCACTGTTAACTGCGTGCAGTAATAAAAGGCAGTTTGAGATTGCTTCTCAGACACTGTCATTTTCAATATTATCTTTATTTCATCAATAACATGGAAGTTTGGATTAGTGAACCAGGAAACGTTGCCCTTAGAAAAAGTATCTACATGTCTACTATGGATATGAGAATGAGAGACTGGACAAAGTCACTTGCTTTTGTAAATGTGATCAGCATTCATTCAGTAACATTTCTGTGGTCTTAAACTTCCCGGTGTTACTTTGGACCCGAAGCAAAGTCCAGGGGAATATTATGGCAGAAAAGCAAAAATCTTTCTCACGAAGCCATTTTACAATCAGTTTTAAGCTTGATTTCTACATCATTATGTGTCAAAAAAAGACCAGAAAGAAAAGAAAAAAAAAAAAAAACTTACAAAAACACATACTTTCTGACCAGAAATCATCTTGGTCATTTAACAGAAGATCAAGTGGGGGCTGGTGACCTTGCTATATTCAGAGATCACAGACTAGGTTTGTGCGGTTGGTCAAATGCGACATTTTCCCAAGTAAGGTTTGTGGGCCATAACAGGAGGACCCGCTGCACTTATAAATGTTAAAACTGGACCTCAGAGGCAGAGAACACTCTCCCTTCACCCAAACTGGATAGTAATTGTTAACATGAAGATATTAATAAGCAGATGTGTTGTTACTTATATCAGGATTAAAAATGAAACACAAGGCCGGGCACGGTGGCTCACACCTGTAATCCCAACATTTTGGGAGGCAGAGGCAGAGGGAGGATCCCTTGAGTCCAGGAGTTCAAGATGAGCTTGGGCAACATAGCAAGATGTCGTCTCAAAAAAAAAAAAAAAAAATAGCCAGTGGTGGCACATACCTGTAGTCCTAGTCACTTGAGGGTCCGAGACAGAAGGATTGCTTGAGCCCAGAAGGTTGAAGCTGCAGTGAGCCATGATTGTGCCACTGCACTCCAGCTTCGGTGACAGAGTGAGACCTTGTCTCAGAGAAAAGAAAAAAGAGATTCATTAGCCAGGGTGAATTTGAGCCACACTCAGAGTACTGTTGTGAGAGGGAGTCACTCATTACCTTAAATGAGAGTGCTCCCCTGCCGAATATGAGGACATAGCATTGCTGATGAAGACAGGGGGCCTGCTATAATGTGCAGGGTAAAGGACACCCCCAGATCCCAGCAACAGACAAATAAATAGAATGGACAGCAGAGGAAGAAACAATGAAGGACCTTGCTAATTGTTTTTCTCTCGCACAGACAAGCTCTCCTTGTTTGTAGTCCTGCCAATATTTAAAATTTAGTGATTTATAAACATATGTGGGCCAGGCACAGTGGCTCACACCAGTAACCCCAGCACTTTGGGAGGCTGAGATGGGCAGATCACCTGAGGTCAGGCGTTCAAGACCAGCCTGGTCAACATGGTGAAATCCCATCTCTATTAAAAATACAACAATTAGTTGGGCATGGTGGCGGGCACCTGTAATCCCAGCTACTCAGGAGGCTGAGGCAGAAGAATCGCTTGAACCCAGGAGGTGGAAGTTGCAGTGAGCAGAGATAGTGCCACTGTACTCCAGCCAGGGCAACAGAGCGAGACTCCATCTCAAAAAAAAATGTGGATACCTCCATGCCAATACCTAACATGAAGTGCTATCCAAAATAATTGTACCAGCAAACTGTCTACCATACCAGGAGAGGTACAGAGAATAACATAAGCCAAATCAGTGTTCTTCGCCACTTGCCCAGAAGAGCCCATCAGTCTGAGTGATTTTTTTTTGTAATTTTGACCATCATACTAATATAAGAAATGGTATGAAGTCAGAAAGTGCCTTTCCACAATTCAAGCTCATTACCAATAAGAGATAGGCTGTGGTGTGTCTCCCCACCTCCCTACTCCCCTACGCGTTGCTTTTTAATTTCACACAATGGAAGATGACATTTTTACAGTTTTGAATGTCTTGGATTTTTCATTAATAGTTTTCACTGGATGTCAACATTTAGACAGTTAAGTTTCAAATGGGAAGACATGTTGATTTTTAAGGTGGGCTGTCTGTGTGCTATCTGGCCCTGAAGCTTTCCGCAAACCTCCTTCACTCACTGTTCTTCCCTCCCTTCCTTTCTTTTCCCCCCAAAAATGTAACTAAGTGTGGCACAATCCAAGTTAAAAATGTAATTAGGGAAAGTGTTTCTGTCAGGTGGTCAGCTACTGATCACAGCCAGCCAGCCAACGCCAGGCTCCATCAAGCATGATGACACATTTGGCACCTGTCTTGAATAGCGACGAGGAAAGTTCACAGGGAAGGAGGGAAACGAAGTCTTCACTATTTCAGGCCATACACTAACAAGCCAGAATTGTGCTGCTATTAGTCCTTTGCTTGAATAAGTGATGACGCAGGGCGGGCAGGCTTACCTGGAGCACAGGTGATGGTTC